TCACTGCATCTCCTTTGAAATCCTTCAGATACTGAGGCTTAAGAGCTTGCCATCCTAAAGGAGTCAACCTGTAATCTCACTGTACAGGGAAAATTACTGTCCGTATTTGATACACTTCTCTAGCCTTTTCCCCTCTGTTTTCATTTTAAAATTGGAATTATAGTATATGTATATACTGCTTTACAGTTTGTCGTTTTTGCATCATAGATAATAAACACTTTAGTACTAAGCATTCTTCTGTAACATAATTTTTAATAGCTGCATAATATTTTCTCAAAGGGATGGGCCATAATCTATTGTTAAGAATTTGTTATTTCCAAATTTTCACTAATTTTTGTGATGGATATTCTCATGTATAGATCTTTTATACCTCTGATTGTTTTTTATATAAATTGCTGATTTTCTGGGTCAAAGATACAAGAATTTTTTGCATCTGAAATGTATTGCCAAATTGTCCTCCCGAAAGATTAAATCAGAAGTCTTTTTGCTTCCCTTTGCTTTTCCTAGTTGGACTAGAAAAATTCCTCATCCTAACCCGCTATTTTTTGTTTCCTCACTTTGAAAGATTCTTCATTTAGAATTAGGTAGAATTTGAAAAAGAAACAATTTTAATACTATTATTATTTATTAGTTCGTTTCATTATCTTTCTTCCTAGGTATTTTGATGGTCTTAGTCTTCTGATCTAATTTTATTTAATCATGATTTCCTTTGCTAACAAAATACGATTGGAAAGGTAAGAGAGGAAATAAGACTATGTCACTAGGTTTTTGTGGTCAAAAGCCAAGAAACTGAGTACACATAATTTTACCCCTTTGCCCTTTGGTATTATTCTTGTTAGAAAGGAAAATCAGGCAAAACATAAAACAGTACAATGTGATAGATGATGTGAAGGTTATAGTGACAAGACACCAGAGAGCAGACAAAAGATCTATAACAGCATTTCCTTTATTTTATGGTTAGCTGTATAAACCAGAACTTATTTTTCTAAGCTTTGTCTGTTTGTTTATTAATATCAATGGACCAGGTTATATAAAGCCCCCATTTAAGGAAATAAGTGTACATTGGAATATATAAAATATTTGTAGATCATTTAAAAAAATCTCTTATAAAGTTTATATATTTCTCAGAATGGTGGATAAATAATTTTGTAGACTGCTGTAAAAGGTTTTGATTTTGAAAGTAGTCTGTACAGTTGAAATGTCAGAGAGTGAAGATTTCCACTTGGTCCAATGAATCTCATCTCAGATTGTGGATTTAATGAAGTCTTTTGCTTTTAGGGAAGAAAATGAGTTCTTTATGGGCATTCTAAGGATTTGATAAAAAAAACCCTGAAAACAGGATATGTTGACAGGGTGCCAAAGTAGTGTCTGAAGCTGATTTGAAATTAGAGTTTAGCTGCCAGTAACATGTTTTACCCTAACTTATTTTATTTGATATGAAGTAAGCAATTTGAGTCTATAATAAGGGTTGACAAACTATGGCCTGTGGGCCAAATGTGACCTGCCACCTGTTTATATATGACCTACTAGCTAAGAATGGTTTTTACGTTTTAAAATAAATGAAAAAATTCAAAAGAATATTATTTTGTTGCATGTGAAAGTTATATGGAATTTAAATTTCAGCATCCATAAGTAAAGTGTTACTGAAACATAGCCATACTTATTTGTTTACGTATTATTTGTGGCTGCTTTTGTACTACAGTAGCAGAGTTGATTAGTTGTGACATCGCTCAATCATACGGCTCACAAAGCCTAAAATACTCACTCTCTAGCCCTCAGAAGCAAAGTTTGCTGATCCCTGATCTAGAGTTGTATAGTCTAACCCACCTTTAAGTTGGCTTTGTGTATGTTCCTGAGGGAAGAATTTTCCTTTCAATATATTTTCTTTCCGGAGAAACTTGAAAGTCAATATTAGGTGGTGATACAGACCCCAAACTTAATTTTTACCTAGCTCTGTTGTCAATCTTATTGAATGATATAGATCACTGGCTCTCAAAGTATGGTCTTCAGATGCCTGGGTATTCTGGAGATCTTTTCAGGGGGTTCCCAAGGCAGAAACTATTCTTATAATAGTCTGGGAAATTATTTGCCTTTTTCACTTGGGTTGACATTTGCACTCATGATGCAGAAGCAATGTTAGGTGAAACTGCTTGCCTGAGCTTGAGGCAGGACCGGGACAGCAGACTGTAGCAGGAATCCTTGCATGTACTTCCAGTAACGCCAGTGCTAATTTTGCCTAAGAATACCCTTGATAAAGCAATAAAAAGTATTAATTTTTATCAAATCTCAACCTTTGGGTACATGTCTTTTTGATACTTTGTGTGGCAAAATGGAAGTATGCATCAAACACTTCTGCATTTCTGCATACTGAATTACTGTGGTTGTCCGGAGGAGAAGCACTTGCTTGAGCCATGAACTAGCTGCTTTGCTCTTGGGACACCATTTTCGCTTGAAAGAACCATTGACAGACAAACTCTCATTTTTTTAGGCTTGGGTATTTGGTGACTATTTTTTTCAAAAGCAAACGAAGTGAGCTGACACTTTAGGGAAAACAACTGACTGTATTTGTTGCCAGTGGTAAAATGTGAGTTTTCATTTCCAAATTCAGATTTTGGAGAACTTGGTTTTGTTGTTGTTGTTTTTAATCTTTACATCGAAATGACAAACTCTACCGACTGAGCCAGCCAGGTGCCTGAATTTTGAAGCACTCGTATCTGCTGCTTTGAGCTTGACAGTTTCACAGTATCTAAAGAAAATATTCTGATGAGATTGATGATGACAGTAACATGTGATGTTGGGGGGAATATTGTGATCATGAAATTTGTCAGTATTTGGAAGAGCAGTTTAATGCAGGGAACCAGTACTTTCAAAATGCCCAGTGTGTGAAGTTACAAACTCAGGCATGGATAAAAGAGCCATTTGGTGTGCAAGACAGACCAAAGGATTCAAATGTAACAGAGACAGAAATTTCATTGAGAGGAATTTACATTCTACATGGCAACTAAGCTTTAAGAAACTACCACTTGGCAAGTTTTGGTGTAGTATCAAAAAATAATACCTATAAATATTCAAAAAGGCTGCTAAAATACTCACTCCATTTTCATTACGTATCTGTGTCAGATTTTCCTCAAATCTTTCTACCCAAACAATATGACAATAGATTGAGTACAGGATCTGGTGAGAATCTAGTTACCTTCTGTTAAAAAGGTTTAAAACAGTGTCACTTTTTTGTTTTGGAGAATATAGTTTTGTGGGATTTTTTTTGGGTAAGATTTTATTTATTTATTCATATGAGAGAGAGAGAGAGCAAGAGCACATGAGCCAGCAGAGGGAGGAGAGAGAGAAGCAAGCTCCCCACTGAGCAGGGAGCCTGACGTGGAGCTTGATTGATCCCAGGACCCAGAGATCATGACCTGAGCTGATGGTAGATGCTTAACCGACTGAGCCACCAGACGCCCCTAGAATAAATTATTATTATTATTGTTATTTTTAAAGATTTTATTTATTTTTCTGAGAAAGGGAGAGAGAGAGAGAACAGGAGCAGTGGGGAGAGGCAGAAGGAGAGGGAGAAGCAGGCACCCCACTGAGCAGGGAGCCTGACATAGGGCTTGATCCCAGGATCCTGGGATCAATACCTGAGCTGAAGACAGACGCTTAACATACTGAGCCACCCAGATGCCCCTAGAATAAATTATTATTTTTTTAAAAATTAAAAAAAAAAGATTTTTATTTATTTATTTGACAGATCACAAGTAGGTAGAGAGGCAGGCAGAGAGAGAGGAGGAAACAGGCTCCCTGCAGAGCAGAGAGCCCGATGTGGGGCTCGATCCGAGGACCCTGGGATCATGACCTGAGCCGAAGGCAGAGGCTTGTCAGAAAAAAACGATTATTGTTCATACAAGAGACATGGAGATTTGATTTTTTTTTAAAACCTTTTGTTGGTTAATTGATCCAAGTAAAGGGTGAAGCAGTTTCATGTAATTAAAAGTATAAACCCAACTGAGCCACCCAGGTGCCTCTAGAATAAATTATTTTTAATAAAAATTATTTTAACATGTAATGGGGTTTAGTGTTTAATTAAAAAAAGTTTAGTTTATTTAAATATTGAGATTGGTAAATATTTACAGGTATAATCTACAAAAACAAAAGTTTTTTTGAGGCTCTCAATTATTTTAAGAATGTAAAGGGAGATCTAAGACTTCATGTTCATTTACCATGAAGTCAGTTCTATGAAATGGGAGAAAGAATTTTCATTGCTGAATATTTCAATACCACCTGTTTATTCATTTTCTTTTGGAAAACTAAGAGGTGAATATATAGACCAAAGATCTCTCCAAAAGAGATTGAAACAAAGATTTCTAGAAATTTAGTCCTTAAAAAAAATAAAAAAGACCCACAACTAAATGGCATACATTTTCCAGATATGGATGATTATCTAAAAGCACACCTCTGTGAGGGTACATTGTATAATGGTTAAATAATGATTATATAATTGCTATAATAGTTGTAATTGAATGATAAGTCTATTATGCTTTATATGCGTTAACTCTGTTCCTCATTTGAAGTCTTGCATAATAAGTAATATTATTAAGTGACTCACTTTTGGTCACATAGTTAAGTTTTAAGAGCTGAGATCCAAGCACTTGTTTTTGTCTTACCCTGAAGCTCTTATTCTCTTCCTTTGATCATAATGATGGTGTTACAAGATCTTGTGGTAAAGGCTCTTCTTTTTGACAACAAGACTAGGTAAAAAAAAAAAAAAAAAAAAAAAAAAAGACTAGGTAAAGACTTGCCTTCAGTTTTAGTGCGAAAATTAAGGCAAAGGAGATTGGCCTCTAGAGCTTACATTGAGTGCGGAAATGAGTGAAGGAGGCAGAAACAAATTGCCAGGCACCGATCTCTGTCAGGCAGTGACGGTCTTTCTAATCAACTGGGATACTATGAACAAATGAATCGATTCTTAATTTAATATCTATTTACTGTTGTGATCGTATTTCTAGGTTTCTCCAGTGACAGTGATCTGGTATCTCTTACTGTTGACGCGGATTCTCTTGCTGAGTTAGATGATGGAATGGCTTCCAGTCAAAATTCTCCCATTAGAACTTTTGGTCTCAATCTCTCTTCGGATCCTTCGGCACTAGGGGCTGTTGCTTCTGACAGTGAACAGAACAAACCAGAAGAAGAACGGGAAAGTCGCAGCCTCTTTCCTGGCAGTTTAAAATCCAAGCTTGGCAAAAGAGATTACTTGGAGAAAGCAGGAGAATTAATAAAGCTGGCTTTAAAAAAAGAAGAAGAAGAGGACTACGAAGCTGCTTCCAATTTTTATAGGAAAGGAGTTGATTTACTCCTAGAAGGTGTTCAAGGTACAATTTTATCTGTATTAATATGTTTTGAGTGTTTTTATATTTATATTTTATATATTTTAATATTTATGTATATATTTTATATCTAGAAAGAAAAGTGTATATATAAAAATTATACCTTGTGTATAATCCTCTAAAAATAAGACTGAAAATGAGAAATTACTGAAGATTAAATGACTTACATTTTGGGAGAGCCTGGGTGGCTCAGTCAGTTAAGCATTTGGCTCTTGATTTTGGCTCAGGTCGTGATTTCAGGGATGTGAAATTGAGCCCCGCATCTGGCTTTGTGCTAGGCATGGAGCTTGCTTAGGATTCTCTCTCTCCTTCTCCCCTGTCCCAGCCCTGCTCATGTGCGTTCTCTCCCCCGCCGCCCCCCAAAAAGCCCACAGTTGGGTTTATACTTTTAATTACATGAAACTGCTTCACCCTTTACTTGCATCAATTAACCAACAAAAGGTTTTAAAAAAAAAATCAAATCTCCATGTCTCTTGTATGAACAATAATCGTTTTTTTCTGACATGGCTAGTGTTCACCGGCCTTCATCTCTCAGGTACTCACAAAGATTCTTTAGTGCATTTACTCCTTTTTAAAAAAAGATTTTATTTATTTATTTGATAGAGAGAGAGACAGACAGACAGACAGTGAGAGAGGGAACACAAGCAGGAGAGGGAAAAGCCGGCTTCCTGCTGAGCAGGGAGCCTGAGGCGGTGCTTGGCCATAACCTGAGCCCAAGTCAGATGCTTAACGACTGAACCACCCAGGCACCCCTAGTGCATTTACTCTTGCTGGCCTGAAGAGAGGAGATGAAATGTAAAGGTTCTTGATATGCCTACTATTCTGTTCTTTGTTAGTTGTCATAAATTTTCAGCTAATTACTGGGGTGTCGTGGGAGCTGATTGTTTCTGAATGTCGTAAGTAGGACTTGCCTTTTTTTAAGCATCAGATTTTTGTTTTAGTCATTTGTCTTTTCCTTATGGAAAGAGTGTGAAGCATACCTCAGTTAGTCACGTGACTTTCTGGACACACTAATCAAAGGTTTGATAAGACCTTCTTCCAGTGGTTTGCTTTCCAGGAAATTGTCATTTTTACTGTTGTTCTGTGAACTTTGACTTGTTAGTGCCATTCAAAGGACCATAGTCTCCTGTAGCACTGACACTTTTTTACTACAGTACTTCCCCCCTCACTTTGCTTTGTGTCCTGTCCAGAGTTTTCTTTTTTATTAGAGGATGAACTTTCAGTCTTCTAACGTGGTATAAGATGAATATTTGGCTGCATGGACTGAAGAGGGAGTGAGTGTAGTGGTATCTGTGCTTTTTAATCAGAATTTTGACTAATTTTCTGGTTTTTAGCCCTTACTTTGATTTCCACAGCTACCCAGTGCTACCAATTCCCAAACTTTGGGAGAGATTTACAGTGTCATATAAGTCAGGCAGCTTTCTTGAGCTTCCTAAGTCAATAACCTCTCATCCATCTGTTTTCTAGCTTGTAAAATGTTGCTGCAGTCTTCTCTCTTAATCTCTTTGTCCTTTTGGGCTTTTGCCTTAAAAATAATTCTTTTAGTGCCCTATAATGGAGTTTTAGGAGGGAACATTTCTCATGGTTTGACTGATACGTCATTTTGATAGAATTTTTTGTTTCTCAAGTAGTATCATAGTTAGGTTTTTTGTTTGCCTGTAGAGCGTTCTAGTCTTTAGAGATGTACACATTTTTCTTGTCTTTTTTTTTTTTTTTTTTAAATTCTTTGTCTTAACTCTAATTTTGGATTGGGAATTTAAAATCGGGATGAGTTGCAGTTAGCTCTGATATTTTCCCTTTTCTTTTTAGATAATTTTGTGCTGTAAAATCACTAGTGTTTAAGTGACATGGATATATCGGTGTGATATTTTTCTGTTGAAAAGTTATTTGCATTTAAACTTAGAGCACTTCATAATGTTACCACTTGATGGCACCAGAAAAATAAAAATCGTTGCTTCAAAATGAGAATTTCGGATGCATTTCAGCAAATAACAGAATAATGTCATTTAGTTAGTTACTTTGTGATATGATGGTGAATTATTTCTCACTAGGACTTGATACCAAATCTACTAGATCTCTCTCTCAAGGAATGTTATCATTTAAACATGTTTTTCCCATTTAACATATGCTTGTCTTTCTGAAACCACAGTATCCATTCCTGCCGTGGATTGGTTTTTGTTGTTAATGTGCCATCAAATCCAAAACATTATACTCGACTAATTGCTTTTAGCATTTTATTGCTTATTTATAATGTGATCAATTTTTTCATACAAACTGCGGGAACCACAGTCACAGAATTCTAATTTTTAACCAGTGTGTAAAATAACCTTTGTTTTAGACCTTATAGCTGTGTGTCAAATGTAATGTCAGGGCAGTGTTTTGGGTACTTTTAAAAGTGTACCAGTCACCACCTAACAGATGCATGGACATTATTGGTTTAACCCCCCCCCCCGTTTTATTGAGCTGTAATTGACATTAACATAGTACTAAAGGTACAGCATGATTTGATACATGTCTATATTGTGAAATGATTACCATAATAAGTTTAGTTAATATCCTTCCCCCCATGTAGTTATAAGTCTTTTTTTTCCTTGCAATGGGAGCTTTTAAGATCTACTCTTTTATCAACTTTCAAATATATGATGCAGTATTTTTAAAACTCATTAATCTTATAAGTGGAAGTTCATGCCTTTTGACTGCCTTCACCCATTTTACCCACCCCCATCCCTGCCTCTGGTAACCACCAATCTCTTCTATGAGTTTGGTTCTTTTTAGATTCTACACATAAATGAGATAATTTAGTATTTGTTGCTCTGATGTATTTTCCTTAGCATAATGACCTCAAGGTCCATTCTTGTGTCTGATGGCAGGATTTCCTTCTTTTTTATGCCTAATAATATTTGTGTGTGTGTGTGTGTGTGTGTGTGTGTGTGTGTGTGTGTGTGTACACATATCACATTTTCTTTATCCATTCAATCATTAGTGGGTACTTAGGTTGTTTTCATGTCTTCACTATTGTAAATAATGCTGAAATAAACGAGAGTGCAGGTACCTCTCTGAGATAGTGATTTTGTTTCCTTATACCTAGAAATGGAATTGCTGGATCATAGCGTAGTTCTATTTTTAATTTTTTGAGGAGCCTTGATTCCGGTTTTTTAGTGACTGCACCAATTTATATTCCCTACAGCAGTGTATAAGAGTTCTCTTTTTTCCATGTCATGCCCAACACTTGTTATCTGTTATCTTTTTTTTTTAAGATTTTATTTATTTATTTGACAGACAGAGATCACAAGTAGGCAGAGAGGCAGGCAGAGAGAGAGGGGGAAGCAGGCTCCCTGCCAAGCAGAGAGCCCGATGTGGGGCTTGATCCCAGGACCCTGGGATCATGACCTGAGCCAAAGGCAGAGGCTTTTTTTTTTTTTTCCTTCATATTTTTAAAAGATTTTATTTATTCATTTGACACAGAGAGAGAGAAGCAAGAGAGGGAATACAAGCAGAGAAAGTGGGAGAGGGAGAAGCAGATTTCCTGCTGAGCAGGGAGCCCGATGGCTCCATCCCAGGCCTCTGGGATCATGACCTGAGCTGAAGGTAGATGCTTAACCGACTGAGCCACCCACGTGCCCCAAGGCAGAGGTTTTAACTCACTGAGCCACCCAGGCACCCCATCTGTGATCTTTTTGTTGATAGACATCCTGACAGGTGTGAGGTAATATCTAATTGTGGTTTTGATTTGTAGTTCCGTGATGATGAGTGTTGTTAAGTACCTTTTCATGTACTTGTTTGGCATTTTTATATCTTGAGAAAATATCTTTTCAGTTCCTTTGCTCATTTTTTAATCAAATTGTTTAGGGGTTTTTTGTTATTAGATTTTGTGTTCTTTATATATTTTGGATATTAACCTCTTGTCAAATATATGATTTGCAACTATTTTCTCCCAGTTGGTAGATTGCCTTTTCATTTCGTTGTTGGTTTCCTTTGCTGTGTAAAATGTTTATAGTTCAATGTAGTTCCACTTGTTTATTTTTGCTTTTGATGCCTTTGCTTTTGGTGTCAAATCCAAAAAATCATGCCAAGAAAGCTTACCCTCCCTGTTTTTTCCCCTAGGATTTTGTGGTTTCAGGTCTTATGTTCAGATCTTTAATCTATTTTGAGTTAATTTTTGTGTGTGGCATGAGATAGGAGTTTACTGTTATTGTTTTGCATGTAGCTGTTTATTTTTGTTGATATTTTGTTATTTTTGTCAATTCCATTTGTTGAAGAGACTGTTCTCCATTTATTGAAGAGACCTAGTATATATGTGAGGTTTTATTTCTGTGCTCTCTATTTTATCCCATTGATCTATGTGTCCAGTACCATACTGGTTTGATTACTGTAGCTTTGTAATATAGTTTGAAATCAGGAAATGTGATGCCTCCAGCTTCATTCTTTATTCAGAGGGTTTCTTTGGCTATTTGGGGTTCTTTAGGGTTCCATACAAATTTTAGGATTTTTTTTTCTACTTTTTGAAAAATGTCATTGGAATTTTGATAGGGATTGCATTGAATCTATAGATAACATTGGGTATTATGGACATTTCAACAATATTAATTCTTTTAATCCATGAGCATGGAATATTTTTCTGTTTATTTTTGTCTTCAATTTCTCTTATTTATGATTTTTAACAGATTTCATCTGTTATTCTAACAGTTTTTTGGTGGAGTCTTTAGGATTTTCTATATATAATAGCATGCTATCTGCAAATAGAAACAGTTTTACTTCTTCCTTTCTGATTTGGATGACTTTTATTTCTTTTTCTTGTCTGATTGCTCTGACAAGGTCTTCTAATACTATGTTGAATCAAGTGGTGAGAATGGGCATCATTGTCTTGTTTCTGATCTTAGAAGAAGAGCTTTCAGCAAATCACCATTGAGTGTAATGTTGAGTATGATGAATTTATTCTTTAATTTGTGAGGAAATTGGGGACTCTAGCTTGTGACCTGACTTGA